ACCCATGCTACTTTCTCTTGAATGCAATGAACGTTTCTCTTTAAATTTTGTACAAAGATAGTATACCAAGGGAAAAATTTGCCATGGAAGTTGTAGCTCCATTCATGATAGCACTTTAAAGCAATTAACATTCATTCATTGCTGAAGAGGTGGTAGATATTATTATGAACACTTTTTAGGTACGAGTTTGTGTACGAGACATAAGTAGCAAACTAACAGCGCCCTCTTTGTCAGAACTGAAAAATCAGTGCTTATAACTGTCTGTAGATGGCAGTATATCCAAACCGAATATTCTTCAAGGATATTCTACAACTGACTTCTATATATGACAAAGGAAAGAATTTTTATAAGTAAACTTTGTTGTTTGATCACATGTTGGGTTTAGAAAAGAATAGTTTATAAATATTCTTTATATATTATTAGTCATTAGTGTCAATTTGTAAATGTCATCTCCGAAATGTGGACACTGAGAGCAGAGCAGAGCCCCGGGGGTCCGACTTGTGGAAATACCTGAAACCCATGTCTGTGAAAGGGGTTTTCAAAATGACCCTAAACACGTTTTAAAAGGTCAAAATTTCGTACCAATTTCACTGTTAGAAAGCTAAAAGATCACGCGCCTTGAAGTCGCGCCTGATCTCTCGATATTTGAGCTTTCTATTACCCTTCAGTGTGAGCACGGGTTGGTCATATGCCGTGATCGCCCGTGATCTAGGGTCGTTAACCAGGGGGCCGGATGTTTTCCTCGTTTTTGCGATCATTGAATTTTTTAAAGCAATAATAAAAACGATAATCTCATTTAAAAAATAACTCTTATCACGTTGGCAGTACAGGAAAAGACACCCCTTTGTCTATTTTGACTGAAATTGTAGCCCTAAACGCGTAACGCACGTTAACGTGCTTTTCTTTTTAAAAAAACGCACCCTTTTAACGCGTACCAGACATGCGTACCAGATCATTCTTTAAGTCGGACCCCGGGAGCATAGCATATATGCCATATACCAACATTGTACAATCAATCAGGTCTCGTGCCATCAAATCTTATGGTTGTTGTTACCGAATGGGTGTACTGCAATTTCGTCAGCTTGTGTGTGTTGCATTGTTTATTGACAAGTACCGGTGATATGTGGATCTGGGCAACTCTCAATTAAACTCTTCAAAAACTAGATGCGTTCCTGAGAATATTGAAGGTAAACTTTGTAAAGCATGACAGATATGTGTGTTTTGTTTACATCCATTTTAAAGGAGTTTGAGCTGGCCAACATGTGTTTTTCTGGCCGAAATTCTATTACATAATGATAATAGAAAACAAACCTTGGCTAAAAACAAACTAAGAACATACAGACTTTTTTAATTTAAAAATCGAAAATTACTTAATTAATGTGCATAACCATGGTCTTAAATGGTTAATTGCAAAATTCAGAACAAGCAACCATGACCTTAAAATTGAGAAAGGTAGACATAACATCATCATAGGGACAATTTTTTTATGACTGCACAAAATAAAGTTCCAAATTTTGATAAAGAAAACAAGTTATATTACAAAATAAATTCATATTGATTATGGGAAACCATACTCTAGCACCAACCTTAGCTGTCTTCTTAAAAAACAGCTATGGAACAAAACAGCAACAAATATCAGTGTATTAGGTTACAATTTGTGTTTATCTGTATTCACCATCGGTTGCAAATTGTCTTTATTGTTTATTCATATTTGTTTTTCAGTGTTTTGTTTTATATTTTTAAAATAGGCTTCTTTTTTTAGATTATAGTTTTTAAACTTCTTTTTGTAAGACCCCTTTTATCTTTTTCTAAGGATGTTATGCGTATAATAATAATTATTATTATTACATGTGGTTTCAACAAATTAAAACAATATTTTGATCTTTGTGACTCTCGTTTTTAGAGAAACTCACCCAAACGCTAACATTGTCGTCTATGGAGTTCTAACCACTGGTATGAGCCCTGAAATCACTGGCAAGGAAAAAAAGATGGCCGCGGGTTTGTGTCTAGGTCTCCAGATGGCGCCATCTATTGAAAATCAGTTTTGAGATTCCAGATAATTACGGTACAAGATGACAACTTACTGGGCCCTCTGGTATCTTAAGGGGCTAAGCCATTCTTTGACTGCTTCTCCCAGATGAGGTTATTTCCCGTAATAATGATCGTTTTTGGCCGATGCTCGAATCTTTGTTTTCACATCGTATGTTTATGTTATGTTATTCTCGTAAAAGGATACTTTGCCAATATTATTGTGTCTAAAACAATACATCGGTAAGATTTGATCAGTTTTATGTTATATTTAAACACATTTTTTTTTCAAAATGAATATTATTGTCGCTTCGAAAATGAGATGTAATTTGTCTAGTTTTGCAATAGAAGTATTGGAGTGTGTAAACAATGCGGGTTTCGTCTATCAGGAGTTGTTATGGGTGGATGGTTCGTCAGGTTGAATATACGGGAAGTGGTTGTAACGGGGAATGGGTAACTCGCAAGGCAGTGAGTGGTACACTGGGATCGCTCGACACTTATACGCACCATTCAGTCATAAGGACACCAGTAATATAGTATAGCCGGATATTTATTACAACTACAATCGTCACCATACGCCCCCGGTCCTCTTCTCACTTAATACGCTCGAACCCCCCATTTTTATAAGCGACAGTGTTAATCGTTCTAAATACTTTGCATGCGTTGTCATGATGGCATGTAGACTCCGCCAGTGAGGGCGTCGCCCCATAGCATCGTCAACTTGGTGACACTGTCCTGTCCAACAAAAGATGAAAATGACCCCATTTTCGGACCGTGGCAACGTATGGTAAAAATATACAAACAGTAGGAAGTGCATACAATTAAATATATGCAATAGGAATTGTACAAAATCAGATACAGACAACAAGAAATATATAAAAAAATTAAATACAGATAGAAGAAAATATAAAAACAAAATTGATGATTAAATGAATAGGATGATTATAATGTGGAGGTAATGGAAGAGTCTGGACCGCGAGTCTTTCAGATGAGTCGGGACCGCGAGTCTTTCAGATGAGTAGGGA